CCCAATTTATCAGATGTTAAATTTTCATATTAATGTAAATGATTCGCTCATATTCTAATTTCCATACACACGGAATAAGATTTTAATTATAATTACAATTCCTTCTAGAATACACTTTAAAGCGTCAATTTCTGGAATTCAATGTTTGTTGATACTCTTGTAAAAGTGCCTGCCCACACTGTTATCAACTTTAGTTAGTTCACGCGGTAATTCAGTTAACCTGTTGTTTATCTCAATAAATCCTCATAATAATTCTCATAATTTCACATTTGTACACGGAGAGAAATTTTTGATAAAAATTATCCTACCGTTCTATAAAAGTGAATCATGAGTCATCGTTTCCTTATTTCTATCCCGAAATTTAGTCAAAATTAATATATGATGATTAAATTTTATTCTACGTTAGAGAAATTTTATCCTGACGCATAATAAATTTTACCCTTCCAGTCTAATAATTTTTATGTGGATAACAACGCAAATTCTAGAACGGTTGGTAAATTTTACCCTACCGGTACAGTAATTTTTACTCTACCGGCACGGTAATTTTTATTTTTATCAGTATGAAATGTCTCTAATGTAGAATAAAATTTGATCCTCATATATTAATTTTTACTAAATTTCGGGATAGAAATGAGAAAACGATGACTCATGATGATACACTTTTATAGAACGGTAGGATAATTTTTATCAAAAATTTCTCTCCGTGTAGCGCATTGTCAACTATTTAACTCACTGAGGCAGCAGAGGTACACTGTTAGAAAAAAATTGAAATTTTCAAACAGCATTGAGATCAGAATTCCTCAACCTCTTTGAATTTTCAATGAAATTATAAAATATTTAACACTGAATTACGAGGAATTTTCAATTAATTGAAAATGGAAGAAGATATTTACCGGAATTTTCCTGATTTCTCTTCATTTTGATGCAATAATTGAACTGTAATTCATAGTTCTCATTCATTTTTCTATGAAATTCTGCATTCTTACTGATGAAATTCCTTGAAATTTCCGTAGAACTAAAATGTGATGACAGTTTCCGAAAAGTGTACCAGAAAATTCAGAATCCCAATCTGACGCGTTATCCAATTGCCAAAATTTAGAGACGTTGGATGTGATAACGAGCCAAAAATACTTACTTGAACCTCTGATATTTCTCGAAGACAAGGAAGGAATTTCCTTATCTTAAATGGTGCCCTCTCGTCCCAGACGTGGATAGATTTCTCCTCATGAACACCAGCTATACACGGAGGAGTTTCTTATCGTCAGCCATTTGTATTCTCAAAAAAAAATTTACGGACCACGTCTTCACCGGAGATAAAAAACCAAAGACAGGCCTGTCATCCTTCTCCCATTCTTCAATATTTTCATTTTTCCCCCCTGCCCTACGCACACGGAATAACGCGCTGCTCGATGATCCATAAAGCAAGCGGCAAATCGATTCGACGGGGATATAACTTTCATCGTTCCCGATTTTTACAGAATTTTTCAGGGCTCCCCCCCCCCCCCCGGGTGTAGATCTCCGTAACCCCCGGGACTATACTTTTAACGCCGTATTTCTTTACTCGGGGAATTTGTCTTCCTCCTCCTCCACTTACCTTCTTTCCTTCTTTTTTTTAGCTACTGAAGCGGCTGCGTCCGCATAATTTTCTGTGTGTCATCGCTTTCACCCCTCGTTTAAAGGGGGAAGTGGCTTGATCCGCTAATGGACCCGAGTGTAACCCCACCTGTCGCTTTACGTTTCAAGTTTCACTTTTCGCGTTTTTCATTAAAGAGGAAAAAAATGAATGGAGATGAATTAGCAAAGGAATTGAATATCACATGGGCTTTAAGACGTTGAGATAACATTCCTTAAATTCACCCGGTTGAGAAGAAATGAATTTTACGAATTGATTCTGTCATTCATTTCCCTATTACTAGTCGGCAGGCATATATATGGATCCTGGAATTTTGGGTAAATGGTGTGGTGTTACATCGTTATTTACAGCTTTTTGTTATTTTTATTTAATTTGCGTCATCAGTGAAAAATGAATAGAAGGTGAAAATGTAGAAATGTGGAACGAAAGACTCATGAAACATTTTTATGTAGCGGTAGGATAATTTTTGCCAAGCCTTTTTCTTCACTAGAATTCTGAGGCAGGCGTCCATTAGTGAAAGAAAGCAGCCCTCGGGAATAAACAATGCGATAAAATTTAAAAGCATAGTGCAGTGGCGGATAAACAGATATACGATCAAATCGAATATGAGAACACATGTAGATACAGAGGAAGTACGGAGAGAAGGAAACGCAGAGGACACAATTTTTTTTTCTACCCCACCGAAACGAATATGTACGAGAATACACCTTCAGTGTAAACATATTTTCTATTTGTATTCTATTTGAATGGAATCCATTGCCGTACCGACAGAGTTGGAAGTTTTTCCAACGAATCGAGCCCCCACTCCTGGCATCGACTCCATACATGCAGAATGGCATTTCCTATCGTACGTCTGGTTGGCACTGGGACAAGGGTACAGATGAAATAGAGGGGTGGGACAATATGTAAAAACATCGGATGTGTATCTCTGTATCCGTTAAAAGTGGTGGAAGAAAGGAGAAAACAGGAGGCAGGACCTCAAAGAACTCGTAAATTGTAACAACATTGTTTTTTCTATTTCTTGGTCCCATTAAATATCACGGAAAATATTTTCATGTTGCTTTATAAACATCAATTGAATTGAAAATACACACATTTTTACTGCCCGAGGTAAAAGTGATAGAGGCACTGCTCTCGTTCATATGCAACACCAATCGAGAAAATGGAAGAACTATAAACATATATCTATCCCCTATTTTCGTCTTTCACGATGCATATGGTGTTTTTCACTACACTCTTGTATTTATACTGGCTGAATTCCCGCAGTGGTTACCTCTCAGATACTAATCTCCATGAAATACCAGAAAGAGGAAGGAGGAAAGAAGAAAAAATGAAAAAAAATGGAAAAATGTGTCCCAAGCGGATAAAAAAGACTTTTTAGAAAATACGTATACTTATATGAAGAAAGATAGCACAAACACAGGGGTGGGAGACAAGGGTTGTGGATAATGGGAAAATGAAAAAGTTGAATTCTAACAGGGCAGTGCCACATACACCACCCCCTTCACGGGTTCGTGACTGGCGTTGTACCAGGACACGAAGGCAAGGAAAGGGATAAAAAAGAAACGAGTTCGTAAAAAAAAAGAATGTAAAAGGCGATGATCTCGCGTGTCGTTTATTCATTATTTATGAGTGGATTAAATGAGATGGACTTTCCTCTCAGCGACATTTTTTGCCTGCATTATTTTCTGCAACATTTCCTTTATATTTTCCCCACAGGATCACGTTTGTTCCACTCACAAATGGTGAGTTTTCGCCCGTCTGGAATTTCAAAACCCTACGTGGACGTCGTTTTCAGGCGCAGTATTACCGTGTCCCATTCATCCCACCTCTCTCTCTCTCTCTCTCTCTCCCTTTCTCGATGCAATCCTCGCGACAAGGGAATGAAAGAGTAGAGTGAGGAGGGACACAGGGGGTGTACAGCGTACCTCTCGCCGGAAAATTGTAGATGAGGCACGATTATGTATTCCGATCGCGGGCGATACCGACCCACTTCGCCTCGCACACGCCCTGTGATGGAGTGTTTTCTGCGCTCCAGAGAGCGCCGTTAGGCGATACCGAAATAGGAGGGGAGAGAGGTGAAAAAGACTGCTACGCTAACCCCAGCATGACCCCAACCCCCGTCGTACCTGACGCGAGGAAATAGTGATATCGGAAGATAAATAACAATCGTTTTACCTAGCACCAGCCATTAGTGTCTGTCGTAAATTAATTTTCACGCGACCCTATTTAATTCGAGATTTTTTTAACGGTTACATTTGACTGATTCATAGGAATAGATATTGATTATGTTAATGCGATAAATTTTTTAGGAAAGAATCTAGTTTTCACATTGTTTGTACAAATTGATATTTGATTTTCGAGTGAATACAAAATTCGAACAACTTCCCTGTTTGAACGACAAATATTACAATCACTCTCCAGTTTATTCAGTCGATATTTATCCAGAGCCAATATTACGCAAAGAGCAATCTAATTAATTTGTTTTTCCATCAAGTACCCTCAGAAATTCCAATAATTGATCAATCTTTTCTTTCATCAAGATTAACGTTCTCATAAAAACACACATTTTTTACATTCAAGAGAATAAAAAATGCCATTAACTGTCATTTTTTCTTTTTAATACCTTTTTTTGTTGTTTCTTAATAATAAAAGGGGAATCGAGAGGTCGACGTAGCAATGGTTGATGTCAGGGTTTCGCTTAAATTCGCGTGTTTTATCGACGAGCAGTGGGCGTAGTGCAATGTCAGTATAGGGTGAAAAACACCATCCTCCCTCCTCTGGTTTACCCAGCCCATTCCACCCATCGTATACCGACTCGTGTGTTTGTTTTAGGTCGGATAGACAGGGTGGAGGGTGAGCCCAGTAGAGCAAGGGAGTGAGTCTGTCTAACGGGAAAGGGAAGGGTGGTTGAGGTAAAAGGGGTCTAGGTACACTGAGTAGGTAAGCTGAATTATACCACGGAGTGACGCAGGCGAAGATAATCACACGCCTTGCAACAGCCAGTTCATCAGACACCGGGTATCGTGCAAGAGTTGATGATGCATCGGGCAAACGGGCACGAAATATCCTGACTGAGAGACAACCCTCTAAAACCCAATACAGAAAAGCCCTTATACACATATCCACTTCTGTTGCGCTCTATTTCACTCTCTCCCTCTCTTTCTCTCACCAGAAACGATTCCCCAGGAACTCTATTAGCGCTTGTGAAACGCGACTGAAAAGAGATGGTTTTCCATCGGTATATGAGAATGTACTGTGAATACACCAGTGCGAAAATCCACCTGTTTCAGACAGGCGCATTCCACTTGAGGTTTTTCAATTAACCCATTTCTATTTGATTTTTGAATTTCATTTTCTTATGCAGGTGCCCTGCAGATTGAAGCTTCGGAAGTGGAGGATCAGGGACAGTACGAGTGTGTTGCTAATAATACCGCTGGCACTGAGTACTCCGGAGCCATTCAGCTTTATGTCAGAGGTGAAGTGTTGTTCTTTAATGCTCTTTTTGTGGGTTTTTTAGCCGTTTTATCCCACGATAATAGGGGTTTTTTGGTGGTTTTAGTGAGGCGTCTCTCACCGAACTTTTCAATCCGTCCACCCGCCGTTAGTGAGGTAATGATGGGAGCATCACTCAATCTGACCTGCGTTGCTGTGGGCGCCCCAATGCCATATGTCAAGTGGAGAAAAGAGCCAGCTACCGATATGACTCCTGATGACAAACTTCCCATTGGCAAAAATGTACTCATGCTTTCGGATATTAAAGAGTCAGCGAATTACACTTGCATTGCTGCCAGCGATCTTGGAGTCATTGAGACTGTATCATCCGTTAGAGTTCAATGTGAGTATTGAATATGAAAATTAAATGAAAAATTGTGAGTTTTTTGGGGTAATTTATTTTGACAATCCTCTCTTCATTATTTTTTTCAGCCCTTCCTGGAGCACCTGAAAATGTTCAGGTCTCGGAGATTACAGCTACGTCTGTCAAACTCACGTGGTCCTATAAACGTCCTGATGAACTACAGTATTACGTCATTCAACATAAGCCCAAACAAGCCAATCAGGCATTCGCAGAGATATCTGGGATCACGACAATGTACTATCACATTAGGAATCTTAGCCCCTACACCGAATACGAGCTCTATGTAATCGCTGTTAATTCAATTGGACGGGGTCCCCGAAGTCACCCTGTATTTGTCACTACTGGTGAAACAAGTCAGTACTATATCATACTTCTCAATGTTTCTCAATACTTTTTAATACTTCTTCATAATGAAAAATTTAATATATTGTACATTTCATGAACCAAGTTAAACACTCCATCGGTCATCATTCATTTTCAGCAGGTCAAACTGTGTAGAGCCTTCGAGAGCTCCATCATGTTCACTTTTGTAATGGTTCTTTCATGTCATAGTCATTGCTCAATCACTAATATTCTTCATGTCATAATTTGGCCATTTTATTTAATTTTTTCACACGATGATCATCGTATCACTTTGAGGCAAAATCTTGAGGGAAACTTTGTCTTTTATTTTTCCATGCTGCCGTTCGTGCACGCATTTTCAATCTGTGTAAGTGACGAGGATATTTTCTTTACACTCATCACGAGTTCTTGTAGCATTGCACTTTGATGTTTAGTTTTTTGCACTCTCTTCAAGCTCAGTGTGACACTTTGTGTCATTTGCAGGCTGACTTTGTTGAGAGTTTACATTTATCCATGTGATAAAATGAGTGACGTTCACAGATTGTAGTTGATTCAAACAAGAGAAAATCGTATCTCAGGTATTTCAAAGGAGACGATGAAAACTGTTCATTTAATGACTTTCGAGTTATTGATTTGCGAATTACTCCATTGCCAATTGTTTCTGTTGCTCTCAACATTTCATCGACCTTTAATTGTCTTTATCTCCGCTGAAATACTGAGAAAAAATTTTCCAGTGTTACAATTTTTCGAAAATACTAAACGACAATTTTCCCTCTAGCGGAATCAACGAATGGAGGTTCTAGTAAGTTTAAAAAGAAATCTAATAAGTGTGTCCAAGTAGTTACACCGTCCACTCTCAAAACTTTTCCATTTCCGCCGTCGTCATCCGCACCCTGAACAGCACATTAAATCACTAGTAGACTCTAGAGTATTTATAGTTGGTAGCAGCACTCACAGTGTAGTGGTTTTCCATCCAACACCATTCAATAATTTTATGTTTGACATTTAAACTCCGAAACATCATGTACATAATTGCACTTTTGTGTTCATTTGCTTTACTATTTCATTCATTTATTCCATTCCTTAATCTTGTTAATAATGTAATCTTCGTTCGAAAGCGCACGTCACGTACTAGTACGTGACTAATTGGATTTGTTGATTTTATTTTTTCCACCAGTTTATTTAGAGGTTTCGGCGTTTGCAATTTTTGATTAATTAGCATCGATCAAAAGTTCTCGCTAATGAAACTTCATCTGAAGAATGAATGAATTTTTCTTCTTTTCAGGACCGGGTTCAGCACCGCGTAAACTTCAAGTTCGCCCGCTGAGTTCAAGTACCATGATTATACAGTGGGAAGAACCGGAAACGCCAAATGGCCAAGTGACGGTAATAAAACCGAAAAAAAGTTTTTACCCCCTTGAAAAATCATAAAAAATAATTAACCGTCACGAGAGGAGAAGGAAAACGTACTTGACACAGAATCGTTTTATTTCATTTCAGGGCTACAAGGTTTATTATACGACTGATTCCAATCAGCCAATGGCCTCGTGGCATTCACAAGTTGTGAATAATAATCAATTGACCACGATATCTGAACTCATACCCCACACAATGTACACAATACGCGTACAGGCACTCACTAGCGTTGGTCCCGGACCACTGAGCCAGCCGATACAAATAAAGACGCAACAAGGGGTGCCAAGCCAGCCGGAAAATCTTTCGGTGGTCGATATTGGGGAAACCTCGGTGACGCTCCGTTGGAGCAAGCCAGCTCATAGCGCTGAAAATATTCTCAGTTATGAGCTATACTGGAACGACACTTACGCCAAGGTACAAACTGTCATGCTGTATTGGAAAAGTCATTACTCAAATCGTAAAATAATACATTCACTGCAATATCTCTGAATGGTTCATTGCTAATTGAATTAACTATCTAGCTTTCGACCACTCAGCTGGATATAGACGGTTTTATAACTTTGTAAAGCGAATTTTGAGAAGTCAAGCGTCAGCTTTTTCCATCAACGTCAATAGTCATACAACGTCTAAATGACAACTCTCGTAAGAAAATGAAATTCATATTTCAAAGTTCATTAATGAGTGAAGTCAATATTTTTGGCTTTGCGACATAGAGCAGCTGCATCACTGCTGAAATGATGGTGCCATCAAAAGTTTACTACAATTTAATGAACTGTGATACGTGAATTTCCCATATCCTAACATTAAATTGGATTCTGAATCAAATTATTTATGAATGAAACTCAATTACCAAGGAGAATTTAATGACATCGAGAATCGTTTAAATCCAATAATTTTCGGGAATTCTGATTGTCGCATAAAATTTAACCCTAGTCTGATCACCAAACGCGACCCTGTGACTCTGGCCACCTCCGCGGGGATTCCCCGCCGTGTTATTTAGCCTCTAGCGTTGCCGAATTCACTCTACGCTGCCCGGGCGCATTTAGCGAGTTTCCGGCAACGTCGCGTCATGGGCAATTCATTTAACATGGGAAAAAATCATTCATCTGTTCGAAATAATTTGTTCTCTTTAAGAAATTCGGGAGACATGTTGTTCTAAACACTACTATAATTCTTGAGACACTTCAATTGATAAAGTCAAATTTTTTAAATTTTTCCGTTTAGCCAGTCAATTGGAATTTAAGAAAACCGACGCGGTGCGGGGTTTCCCTCATATGGTGACCAATCTAGGGTTAAATCAATCTTCTGCTTCAGTTTTCAAATTACGTATGAGCAGATTATTGTTGGCGATTAAAGAAAATCTCAATTAACAGGAAACTTATGTCTTTCTCAACTAGGAGAAGCATCATCGCAGAATACCAGTGACGGAGAACTACACTCTCACCGGTCTGTACCCGAACACACTCTACTACGTATGGCTGGCAGCTAGGAGCCAAAGGGGCGAGGGTGCAACTACTATACCGTATGAAGTTCGCACCAAGCAGTACGGTAAGCAAAGTGAACTCCGAAACACTCATAAAAGCAGCGAGGAGTGCCACAAGTAGGATAGTTGTTTTCGATGTGCATTAACCACCGAGTACCGAGTTTCTGGTCATATTAATTGATCGATAATGTACTTATGGTAGTGATGACACGAATTACAACTAGTGGCACAGCAGGTAGGAACAACGTAAAACATTCGCTAGGCGCTCCCGCAAGTAGCGTAAGCTAAGGAGTATGACCCGATTACATCTATTGAAATCATTTTTCGTTACAACGATAATTGGTGAAGTCTAAATATCTGATGAAATTGTTTAATTTTTCTATTTTATTTGAGTTGATACATTCGGAAATAGATAATTGAGGAATTACTAAGGCGAAATAGAGAATACGACAGTGTGGGAGAGTGAGAATGACTGCATGCGTTGCAAAAAAGCCGTTTTTGGATGCCACTATATATATTTATCTATATATATAAACGTATATATCATACATATAAATTGCACTAAGCACTGCATTGATATATGTGTGCATTTTGAAGCACCTCTATTTTCATTCTTGATAATTCTATTGTTTAAGACATCTATTAAGTTTAGTTTGAAGTCGTTCCCTCGAACGATGATTTTTTTAATACTTCATTCAGAAATAATAGCTCTTTATCTGAGCCGAGATGAGAATGATGAGATACTCTTAAACTGTTTTTTTTTTTTTCAAGAACTCATTTTTCTCTTGACTCTTGTTCTCTATTAATAATGAATTCTTAGACTGTTCAAGGAGTTTGTACTTATATACGTTATATAATCCATTAATCCTGGAATCTATCGATTTTCGTCTGTAACCCTGCAGCCACTGACGATCCTTATCTAGAGCAAAAGTTCACTGTTGAAAATTCATAATGGGGATAAGCCAGAGTGTCAGTTGTAGCTCCTATTATAAATACAAGCCTGTTGAAGCTAGTTTGTAGATTTTTAACTTGGGTGAAATAAAAGTTGAGAATTGAGGTTTTGGCTAATCTTTATTGCAAATCTCGAGGTGAATTTTTTTTCGGACTATCAGTGGCTGGAGTTGCCCCAGTTTGTTCCTTCTTCTCTCCTTGTTTTTGTGTGCCCCTTCCTCCCCCCCCCCCCCCC